TGAATTCAGTCACTCCGTTCGTTCTATATTGACCTCAACCTTGACCTGTGAAGACTGCCCACTTGCATTTCTTTTCCCCACAAGCTAACATATTCAGTGTCCCATAATCTCTAGAAAAAGACAGCTTTCTAACAAGCTTTCTTCTCAAATTTGCCATGTTACACTTCTGCTAAATGAATTACAGCCTCAAAAGGATAATTCTGAGCCACCTAACTCATACAAGCCAACATTGCGAATAAGCCAAACATAAATATGAATATGCACATGATAAAATGAACCCCTCTCCCAGTCAAAGAAGAAATCTATCAGTTCTTTGCTTAAATTTGAGCAAAACGATATCCCATTAGGATATAATACAAAATGATTGTTCAAAGACTATTCATTACTCGTTAAATTCAGTTTAAAACAATATATTGTGTAATGAAGCTTGTTCTAAATTTGTTTTAGAGACAAAAAGCATAGGCAAGTATTTAAAAAGGGGCTTATAGGATTTAGGTGCCCATATTTCACTTAAATGCAGTATATGCTAGATGCCTAAACCCAATAGGCTCCTCAGAAAATTCAAGCCCCAGGGACATTATTGCAGATTACATACATACATATTATTCAGACCATATCCCGTAAGTTCACTATATACATATGTAAACGTATGATGCCTGCAGGTAATGGAACAGTACTTTTCTACTTAAATTATTTAACACAAGGGCTGAACTTCTATTATATATCAAGCTAACAGCTAATTTTAAGTTGCAATCAAGCCATTCTCTGAGAGCACTTTATTTCAGTGGAGGTTTTGCCTGTAAAAGAAATGTAAATCCCTCTAACGAAGGCAGTGTAATCTTTGAATATGCACTCAAAATGGGGGCTTGAATTTTATTTCTAGTGTTAACACTGATATCTTCTGTCACTACTGCTAGTTCTCAGAAATGTTTTTCATCTATCTAATCAGTAAAACATGCTGAACCATGCTGAAATCCTTTTCAAAGCACACTAAGATATATGAAAAAAATAAAAAATGACAAAATAGAAATACTAAAGATTAATACTAAAGTCTTCTTCACACACTGAATGACATCAGTGAGAAGTTCCTTGGAACAGACAAATGGCAAGATACGGCTGAAGAGTGAAAGTCCAAAATGCAACACATAAAAATGTTGGAAAAATCGCCTGTAACAAATCTTCAAAACTCTGCTTTCACTAATCCATTTCAAATTCTTGCTTACATATCACTTGTTCTTTAATGTGACTGACTCTTGCCTGCACGTCAGATACATAACTCTCAGTATCGGGCTGCAGCAGGCTGAGATTGGAATCTCTTTGAGGACTGTTCCACCTTTCCTTGAGAATCTCAAGACTTTCATGTTTTATAATAACACACAGACGCAAAATCCAATCCTCCTCCCATTAAAGTACATTAAAGTTTGTCATTGTCATCTGAGTGATAACAAATTCACATCTATTGAATTATACGGTAAAAAGACTTTTATCCTTGCTTGTGATTCTCCATAGTGTACTTTAATTATAGGTATAATTTCATTTGGAACTTTTCTTAAGATTAAGGTACAACTTGAACTCAATATTCTCCAAAGGCAGGGTCCACTTCTGCCAAATTACCAACACAAATACTATCCTGCCATATCTTCTTTGTCCTATGCAGTAGCCTATCACAGCATACAAAATTAATCGTATTTTTACTACTCAGAGCCCTGTTCAAATCAATGGCACAACACTCCTATTCATTTGCCTAGGACTTTGTGTTTTGCAAAACTACTGCTCCAGCTAGTCACAGAACAATGCTCTAGTCATATAGGACACGGCAGCAACCATTTTATTCTTACTACGATACAACTTCTTATGTAGCAAAATGCAACATTATTAGAAATTATCCTTATTATGCAAAATCCTATTAAACAAGAAGTTACACACCTCACTCGTACCACTGGACTTTGTATGTTAAAGATAACATGCAGTAGCCTTATACAAATTATACAGGAACAAACTGTCTCTTCTGAAAAAAAATGCAATTACAATAAAAATGACATTTCAAAACATTTCTTATTATGGGAATAAATCTTTGTCAGTCTTCTTCAAAAACAAAACCACTAAACAATAGGCGTAGATCAACAAACAAAAAACAAATGTTTGGGGGGAAAATGCAAAACATTGGCAATGTACCTTAAGTCTAAATTGTAAAACCAGGTTTCCAGGCTGAAACCCCACAGAACAATTTCACTTAGTTTGTTTTAAAGTAACATGACTACTGTTGAAATCTCATCTCACAGGAGGTGCTTTTACACCTGAAAGAGTTAACACAATAATACAAAATGAAACCCACTGATGGACTGAACATGAGGTTTACTTGCATGAGATGAGATGTCATGAAATGTCTCATAACTTTAAACTTACGAAAAAAATTACTTAATTGATACTAAATAAAAATTTCACTATGGTTCCAAAAAGGCTTTAACTTACTGACCACAATATGAGCAGAATTGATCCTAAAATGTTTATGAAATTGTAAGAGTTAATGCTCATGGTCAGTATCGGTTATTTGGACTTAGAGCATATCTTCTAATAATGAAGGCATCATTACAAAGATAGTCTTACGAAACAAATGTTTATTTAAACTAATTGTACTTTTTAGCATGGATGCTGATGAAACTAATGCCTCAAATGTCAGTTTTCCAACAACTGTTTTACATCTCTCTCACAGTAAAATTCCCATCTGGGCTGGCAACTCGTGTGCCAAGTTTCAAATGAACGTGATTTGAAACTGCCAGCATGTGAGACTCTGAAATTCAAGGGAGACACTAATAAAAGGAGATGGATGCTGACAATACATCCTGGTATTCTCTTTAAAATACCTGCGGTTTCAAGAGCTGGATGGATCTGTTTTCATAACCCTCTAATTATTGTAACATGTTTATAACGTATAGTAGCCCTATATTGGTACAGAACAAGTTAACTGGATCTAACTTGTAAGAAAAAAAGCAGTTGTGTCGAAAGAATGTAGAAACAGTGCTGCAGACAAAACCTTGTTATTCGGAATCCCATTAGTTACCGAAAATATGTAATATAACTTTTGTTGATCAATACTCTCGTGTAAGCTCTAAATAATGTATGATTCCGGTGGAGAAAAAATGCTGCAAATGGTGAGAGAATGTTTCAAATTATGAAGACATGTATGACTGCTAATCCATTAATCAGGAATCGGAAAGATTGTTGTAATGTGGGAGGGCTCTATTTAATAAAGGTCATTATAACTCCTGGCTCTAGAGCTATAAGATCTAATATCCTCTCTGGTAGCTCTATGATATGCCCATGCATTACTGTTCTTGTTGACAGTCTGTTGCCTTGGAAATATTTCATTATTTCAGTTTTTCCATTTGTAGACCCTTGGCCTTGTGATATGAAGGCCACCCTATTTCATATTTTCGATTATCATTTAAGCAATCTTCTGGAGCTATTTATATAAAAGCAAGTGTTAGACAATGCATATCATCATTTATCACTGCTATGTTTAAGCTCATGCTCTAGAAAGAAATGCCAAAATAAAGGGCTTTTTCTCTTCCACTGTAAGCCAATAGCACTCTGATATGATGATACGCTTTACAAATCGATACTGGCATATCATGTGCATGACACTTCTGTCTATTTAATTTTCTTGGTTAAATATCCACACAACTGAAAAACCCCAAACTCCTACCGTAACTGTAGCATTTGCTAACACATGCAGTTTAAAAGAAAATCAAATTATGTGTGTAACTTTTCAAACATCCTTTCAAAACCTTGAACAGGTGGAAAAGTTTCAAAACAATCAGATGCCTGCTTGCAGCAAGGACTACCACCTCTCACAGTTGTTTCGTAATTACTAACCTTGTGCTGGAAGCAGTAATACAATCCACCTAAATATTGTGGAAAATAAGACCAAACAGAATGTGTCCCCACAGCCTCCTCCAGGATCTCTCACCCCCAGAACTCCTTTAGGGAGGCAGTAACTAAGGAAGAGCCTGCAGAACCCCTTCAGCGGCTGCTGAGTGCCACGGCTCAAGGAGCCTGACACATAATGCTGGAAGGATGTGTACAGACAGCTTAAATCAACAGTTAATGTAGGGCTTTGGAGCCACATTATTGAATTTTTAAGAAAAAGTACATGTGGGCCTGAGCATTGAAGCACTGCTACAGTTTTCCAAAAACTTTTTTAAAGAACAGCAGACCGACGTTATTTCTGATACAAAAAATGTCCTCAGCCTCTACATGCAATATTTACACCCACAGTGGAACGCTGTGAGGCGCGATAAGAAGGGGAACCCCAAGGGCACAGTGCAGCCGCGCCGGGCCAACTTTGTGGCTACAGTGCTTGAGGAATCCAGACGACTTTTTTCCCCTGAAATCATTACTCCTCCCACTCCCTACAGGGAAAAACCACTCGGATCCAACCTTTAAAATGACAGCACCAGAGCTGAACAAGAAGATGCTATTAAAGGGCATTAAATTAAATACAGTATATCCTCCTACAACTTCAATCAGAATTTCAGACCAAGTGTTATTTAGTTCAGCTCTCAAGTGGAGCAGAATAACAAATCGCGCACTTTGATTTACCTTCTCCGAATGCCAAATGGAGACAGGTGATAAAGAAAGCACTCATGCACAGGCTATGAAGTTTCCCCTAGAAATTAATTCTATCTTCCAGATTCCTATCTCAGAGAAATTCCCAAAATGGCACACAAATATGCTTCTGCCGGAGAGATTACTGAAGCTATCCTGGCGAATGCACTTCACACTAATACAGTACGGTGCTCAGAAAGGAGGCAGAGGAATTGTTTATGGGGGGTGGGACAGGACTTATTGATACAAATTGTTTCCCAACAAAGAGCTCTAAGGCAGCAAAGCTACTACTGGAAGAGGTGTTAACTCAGCAGAGACCAGATGCCTCTACAGCTGTCAGAAAGGGGATTTTTAAAAAATATTATAGTCGGAGATGAAAATCTGTAATTTACTGACTTCTGAGGACACACTTTGTTCCCACTGCAGGCATCTCCCGATCAGCTGCATGTCAGTACAGCCTTGTCCTGGTGTGCAACAGTTAATGACCACACGCCCTGTGCTCAGTGTTTCTGGGCTCAGTTTCTCATTTGGGGCAGTCTGCTTCCCTTGGAAAACAACAGAGACAGAATCCAGACAGAATCCACGGGGTTTAGAAGTTGTACGAAGAATGCTGATGCTACTCAAAAACAGAAGTCCGAACTGAAGATTAAAGTGAACTGGCCCCCTACACTTCATTTTTGTTTAAGTATTTTTTCAGTGCTGTGAAGTAGAAAGAAAGCAACACGCAGCCCAGCTACTTTTAAAAGCTGTCTAAATGTTAATTTTCATTTTTACAGCAAACAAGCTCCTTATCCTTCACCCTTAAGTTCACTTCTGAAGGGAAGGAAAGAGGTGGAAGAAGCC